ACAAGTCTGTTTAGACCCTGATCACATTGGTTACTCTACACCACCAACCCAAAGTATGAAGTGATACCTCAATTAACTTCCATCTGTCAATGGATTTTTAAAAATTGTTTTGATAGATTGCTGGACCATTCCTGTGGAATAGTGTGACTGATAATGGACACAACATAAGAACAACACAATTTGTCAGTTTCTTCCTTGTTTAATGATTTGTTGATAAATAATCTGGTGGATACATTTGATTTGCTAATTAGTGAAAATGAAAAACTTCATTATAATCTGTTTAGTTGTTATTGTGTTCAGTAGGGTTGAATTCATACACAAAATGTTGATGGTGAATATCTCACGATATATGATTTTAATGATGACATTAAAATCTTGCAAATACCTAAAATCATAGATATTAAAACAGTTTATACAAATTTGTACAATTTACAGTATGTTCAAAATCATACAAGAATTACAATGGCCTATCAAAGCACTTGCAGAAAGATAACAGGGGGATATTTCACATGCAGTTTAAACACATTTCCATAGAATGTACATATTTGGAACAAGTCATGTCCATCTGTACAGGTATAAATAGTAATGACACTGAAGCACATACAACAATGGAAGATGACTGTTGAGCATCAGACATTAGGCACCAAGCTGAGAACATTGGATATCTACACCTCACAACTGGTGATGCTGATGGGGACAAAGGGAGGTAACTTGCAAATGCAGGAATACAGAAGTTTGTTCCTTCAGAAGAAAGCCCCACCCAAAAATGATAGACATGTGATTCTTCTAAGCCGGTAACATCTAACATTAACAAATTAAAATGATTTTGGTATATCTACAAAACCAACTAAAATTTCTCAGTACTGGTCTTCTAAATGTCTGAGGCATTTGTTTGGACCTAACACACCCTATAGTAACAACTGCTACATGCAGTCTCATGGTTTTGTAGAATATCTTAAAATATTGAACAGGTCACTTGCATATTTAACTACACTTCAACAACAAAATCCAAATTTCAGATAGGAAAAGCAAACCGAATAGAATAAACACAATTAACTGTGCAACAACCGTGAGTGTCTAGACAAAAACACCTGACTGCCACCTTGAGAAGGGACACTGACTGAAGTGTTCAGTCAACTAATAATGTCAGATCAGCAATGATATGACGACCTGAATAATGAGTATTGCTACAGTTGTTTTACTGACAATGACAAAAGATTTGTAACCAAATACTCAATACAAAATATCATCTGACACAATATACATAATGAAATAGAAACAGTGACTGACACTATACTTAAAGAAACAACCTGAACAAGTAGCCTACACTTCATGAATACCCAGGTCCATGTAAACGACTGAAGATCATTCTGAAAACGCATTGAGCACAGTTGTCTGCAAATACGATTACAATTTAGCAATCTAAGCAGTAATCCTTTAATTCATGTGCTTGACACTTAATAATGGCTATCAAAGAATAGATCGTCTTTCTTCCTGAAGATAACTGAAAGAATACTTAGAAGTAAATCATAATTTGGGTTAACACCACTACTAATTTCTACATCTAAGTTGTAAACATCGTGAGAGGAAATTGCTAGTACAATATACAATCCCATGAGGCAGACTGACTACCTGAACCTCTGCATAGAGCACTGAGCTTCCCAACTGAATATATGAGAAGTATTTTGTATCAGGCCAGACAAGAGGAGAAAGTTCAGCAAGAAGTATTTTATGATTGAAATGAAAATTAAGGCACTTAAAAGCAACCCAAAAAAACAAACCAAAAAAACCCCCAATGATTGAAAAGTCCTCAGAGAAAAAGGAACAACATCCAAATTTATTACTTCATTCCTCTGAAGCAAAACTGATTACTTCAAGATGAAACTCTTACCATTCACACTCACACCCAAACATAACAAATAATGCAACAACCAACAGATAACCAAGTAAACCAGTAACAACTGAAGTAAAGCAGATTCCAAATGTTCTTAATACTAATTACAAAGATGGCATGACTTGCCTTATCAATATTACATCTTTCCCAGAGGTTGCTGGGGATTTATTTGTGTCACTTGATTGAATGATTCATTATCTCACATATTGCATACTTTGAAAACACTTATGAATGTCGCTTTTTTTTATCTGTCTAGTGTGTGCAATAACATGACTTCATCTATAACAAAGCAATCAATTTCTGGACTGAGAAACCAATATTACTGAAATCTATCATACCACACCAAAATATACAAAACAATAATTCATAGAAAATAAAGTACAAAGCATGCAATGCCAATCACATATGTTCGACTGAAATGAAGAGTTAATTACAGTTGAACACTGAAGTGTGAATATGAATTAAAAACAATGAACTGACACGCGGTTTCTCACATTCCCGAGACATTTCAAATTATTGCCATTTATTACAGAAAAAAATAGATACAAATTTGTTCACTAAAAAAATCCCACTGAATTTCAAACAGTATGTAATATATTGTACATGAATAAGACAAACAATATCAGACATGTTTCACATGATGAAAGAAATAGTATTTTGTATATGTGGGTATATGTGCCTGGTACCATTGTACCCTATCCCCTAGAATGGCTGGGGTAATATCTTTACATTAAGTACATCTGTACATTATACAGAACAACCTGTATGGGAACAATACAACATGTACTGGAGACTTTACATGATAAAGCAATGAGATACATGGAGCACTTCTCCTCATGGACTCCCTCTCTCCTTTCAGTGGTACACAACTCCAGGAACTGTGTACAGCAGATCACAGGGGGGGCATGTGTACTCCACAACACTGGTTGGCAGTGCCAGGAGCTGCCCAGTCACAAGCTCTTGCATACAGGACAGCACTTGAATGAAACATCTAAGTCAACCGTAAATGAAGGATTTCACTGCTGAAAATGCTTTTCATACTTGATCATACAATTCTATATAAGAGTGGTACAGAACAACAAACACTGCATGTAGAGTGGAACAATGCCCTTACAAAAATTGCTTTGATTTTCACAGTGCCTACTAAAATAGTACAAGTAAGATTATAAAAACTGTGCTGTTGGGATTGATAGTGCAACATGACTGAACACAGGTATGAAAGATACATGTATGTAAGAGTTTATGGGATTAACAATTTAATGTTGCTCATATTACATACTTTATAAAATGTGGAAATATTTCAAATGTCTGACAAGCAATAACACTGAAGTGAATTAAATGAAACCCATTTGATTTCTTCAACCTAACAACAGATGACCGCCATTAGTTTGTGAAACATAAGAGTAAATTGTAACTTCCACATAGAGCAAATTCAACCTGGCAATCATTATATATTACTCAAAAAAATGTTTAGGACCTCCTGATTCTTTCATAAACACATAGTTAACATGTCATGCTATGACAGACAAATAATAGTAATATGAAAAAATTGAATTGCCATTTTGTTTAGTAACTTTAACAACCATCAATAAAGGTCATACTTTCACCCAATCTTGTTTTCAACCATCTCTGGGCTACACCAACCTAGTCCGCATTTGTGAAATTTGGAATTATGAATGTAATTATCTACAAATCTGACAGAGGACCACCCTCCATATTAAAACCTGTATATCTACAATGATGACATCAATATGTTACAGATCACAAGCTACTATTGCACTTTCATGAGATGTATGTACACAATTCACAACATGGGAAGTTGTTGAAGTTGCTTTGTCCATTGTGTGTAGTCACAAGGATTCTACAGAGGCACTCCACTGCTGAACCTACTCTAACCGCTGAGGGGTTCAAACTTATTGGGGGGTCCAGGGTGCCCTTGTACAAAACAACCTTAACGCTAAGACTACCTTAAGTCTATGTTAAGGTATGGGAATTACGGTCACCTTAGCGCTAAGATTGCTTCGTACAGCGGCACCCAGGGGTCTTTAAGATGTTCTACTGAATTTGAATGTAACAACTTCCTCAATGTTAAAATTTTAACATGATTATGACAAGGGCCTTTCACTTGTCTGCTTAATTTTGATCACTGTTAATGACATACCATTTTGCTCATGCTGGACCCCATTCCACAAACTGACTTAAGAGCCATTACTGTCCCATATCCTTTTGTTAATCCCTGATGTAGGACAGTCTTGGTCTAGGATCAACTTGTAGAATGTGGCCTATGGCCCTGCTCCAAAAAGTAATCTAAACACAAAGACAAGTACAAGTCGAAGGTGAATGATGGGAGTTATGACAAAATCGTAGCACTACGAATCGAGGAATAGGTCTCCTGAACACACAAGCTAGAAGCACCATGGTTGATAATTCACATATTTTACATTTTGTGTATTCAAAACAAAACATGAACTCTACATTTGGCATTCTGTAGATGTATTGATAAAGTTCCTGACTGAAACTGTGCTAGATTGTAGTCCTGTTATTCATCTCACAACATCCAGAATCGATATATCTGTAGTTGATGGTTTACATCTGGACACAGTATTGGTACACATAGCCAGGACACAATAACCAATACTTCCAACAAAAACCATGAAAAAACAACCACATTTTATCATATATTTACATAAGGTCTCCTGAAATCTCATGGAGGTGACTGTATATAATATTAAGAAATGTTGTTCTGTCACTATTGTGTTGAACTGCTGCATGCTTTTGTTAAGGTGATCATTTATTCAATGTTCCCATCTGACTTGGTAATTGAGGGAGTGTGGTCAGCCTGCAGTGGTCTTGTCCCCTCAGCTCGACACAGGAGGCCATGGTGTACATGCTCCTGCTAGGTCTTGAATCTGGTCTTGAGGGTCGAATCTGGTGTGGGAGATCTGCTTGTAGGTAATACACTGAACCTGGTCACACTGATATAAATATCACAGATCCTCTTGTTTCTTCTCAAACAACAAATTACTGGAATTAGCTTAAAATCACAGTTTCAAGTGGAAAAAGAACCCTTGTGTATATAGCGTCTCTATAATATCCCTAGTTTTCATCATACTAACTTATTTTCAGGTTCAGGGTCCACGTAGTACTTTCCTGAAACAAAATAACAAATACATGTTAAAAAGTTTGCTCTTTTTGTTAGTTTCTGTTATATTACATAAATCATATAAGTTTCTTGCATGTTAATCTATGTACATTTTTCACTTATTTGTGTATACATATATATGTGTCTGAATTCATTGACCAGGGTGTAACTAGGTGACACAGGATGTACAGCACCAATATCAAATCTACATAAGAGTTCTCACTGACCTGAGGCAAACCTCTTCTTTGCTAGTGATATCCTATAGCCTGGGCCAGATAATTCAAAATCCACTCCTGACAGTGTGGTGCCCTCACACATGAATTGAAGGGCCGTGGTTGATGGCACACTTGGACCTGTCTTCAACTCAAACTTGGACCGAATACATCCCTGGCTCTCCTGCTCGCTCACCTCAGAGATGTCGTTCAACTTCCATGTTGCTCGACTGTTCTCTTCATTCCTGAAATAAACAGAAATTATCTAATGATCGTAACAAGGTAAACATTTCACACATTTACCACTTTGGTGAAACTCAAAAGCAAAGGTATGGCACTGACCAGCCTAGAAATTTAATTTTTACAAACTGGGTTTCAACAATGATATACCGTATATGACCGTCTATAAGCCGAACCCATGGATAAGCCGACCCCCAAACTTGACCCTCAAAATCAGTGTCAAAATCATATCTCTCATGGATAGGCCGACCCCCCGCGATGGGTCGCGGCCAACAGAGACCAGAGTACCCGGTAAGTATGTTCCATCAACGACGAGACACCATTACGAGAATATTACATAATAAAGATTACCGGTGTTTGTTTACCTTTTTTTAACGATCACTGCTTGCATCAACAACGAGACGCCATTTGGAAAGTGGATATACAGCGTAAGTGTTGGTGAGAATATTACATAATAAAGATTACCGGTGTATTGTGGCAACATGTGTTTGTGTTCCTTTTTTATATCCCGACGATCACTGCTTGCATCAACAACGAGACGCCATTTTGTGAAAACGTACCATCGGTAAATAAAAACTGAAGTCAACTTTTGTTTCAAAATATATTATTTAAGTGTCCATATTTCATCTATATATATATGACAATAAGAAAAATAGTCCACTAACAATAAACACTGACATTTCTGCAAGAGAGTTCTGAGATTTTCACAAGTCATCGGCCGTAAACCCATCAAATTCCGTGTCACTGTCCTCCTCATATACTGTAAGTCGATCCACATTATTCAAAGAATTCACTGTCATATATATTGTGTCTACTCACGGATCGAAACGAAGTGTAGTTGACAGAAAATGCATAATATATTTTGCTTCTCTAAATATCATATTTATTGTAGCAACAAACTGACTTGCTTATTTTACCCCATTCAACAATCACAAACTGATTACCGCCTCGGTTCCATGTCACGTGCTTACCACGTTCATGATGGTCCGTATAACCTTAGTGTTGATTATATATTTTTTACATAAAAACTATTACACAATGCTAGGATATATTTTTTTGGGTTAAATAATAGTATTCAATCAATAGAATTCATCCCGTTATATTATTGTGCATGTTTGAACTTGTTCGCGGGGAAACGTGTGCACAGCTGATTGCTATTTCCGGTTTTGTGTACGAGACAGATACGCACGGTAATCTTAATTAATTTATAGAGCAAAAACTGTAACTAAAATTACACAATGCTAGGATATATTTCTTTGGGTTAAATAACGGTATTCTGTATTATATTTTACTGTTGACTGCGTCAGAATTCGTCCCGTTATATTATTGTGCATGTTTGAACTTGTTCGCCGGGAAACGTGTGCACAGCTGATTGCTATTTCCGGCTTTGTGTACGAGACAAATACGCACGGTAATCTTAATCTCTGCAAATAAAACAATGCCCAGCAAAAACAACTTATAACTTAAATGGTAAATAATCTTGTCTAGTGATGTTTAATTGCAAATTTGACGTCTCTACTGACAAAGTCGTCTTCTGTTGTTTGTTCCCGCGAAGTGATACTGATGTTGTTTTCTTACCCCTGGAAAAAGTTTGACGAAAAAGTGTAACTCATGGATAAGACGACCCCTTCTACAGACTGCTTTTTGGTCCTCAAAATTCGGCTTATAGACGGTCATATACGGTAAGTTTCTGGTCAGCCTCGAGGACCAAGTCTCCATGGTGAATTGTGGCACCACCAACTCTCAAAAAACATTGTTTATCACCAACTGAAATTGCTGACATGAAAGCAACTGAAACTTCAGTAATTGTCCTGTCCAGATTTGTGTATCAAAGTCCAAATGATGTGAAGATATTACTCTCTGCCACTACTGGTAATGCTACTAATACTTAGTATGAAGTATTTGTCATTGTAAATACTATGATATTCTAACCAGTGCCCAGGGGGGAATGCTTTGCATCTTGGTGACCCCTCCGTTGATATTGACAGCAACGAGAACATTCTTGAGAGTTGCAGGCGAGGCCATGGAACTGGCATTGTAGCGGTAGTCAAGGCGATACTCTGTATTCTTGTCCTCGCATTTCCAGTACACAACCAGAGGTAGAGGAGTGCTCTCAACTCCAGGCTCAGCCCGTACCTATAAACATACCAGAGAGAATTATTCATAATATTGCATGCAGTGAGGGGTGGTGTTTAACATTGCCCAAACAGCGTCTCAGTTATATCAGTTTCATGTGGGAGAAAAAGTGTGCAGCAGTTTGTCACTTTGGCGCAACCATGAATGCATGCTAACAGACCTTGGCCCATAAACAGGGTAAATCTGTGATTTAAACCAAAAGGCAAATCCTGGTTGATGTCAAAGATAACATAAAATAACCAAAGCCCAGAAATAGTTTTCACATCACTTCATAAGGTTTTAGTGTTATCATATGGGCTATTGTTACCTGAGCTTATTTGATTGAACCCAGTTTTACTCTGCTTGAGACTAGTGGACGAAGGTCCAGGCTGAGTTGACAACTGTTTATGAAACAGATTGGGTTTAAGATTGTAGCAATAACAAAGTTCACCAATCTGAAACTCGATTGCAACCTACAATTGAGCATGTTCAGACACTTCATAGACACCCTACAGGTAGGTAGCAAACTGAAGCTGGGTTCTGGGAACTCATAAATAGGCCCCGTACCTGATATTTAATGATATCAATATTGAAGTAAGACGCCGTTTTGTTCTGTTCCCCCTGATGCCGAAGGTGGTCAACAAGAGCTCCCATGTCAAACTGGAACACATGGCTGTCTGCTGTACTCTGGGCATTGTCTCTGTAAAAAACAAAATGCTATATCAACATCTGCTACAACTACTTAGTACTCAGGTAAGTTACTGCTACTGTATTAAGAGTCTACACCTCACCGAGACGGCTACATACTGATTAGAACTGTCCCAATGGGTGATTTAGGATTTACAATGCACTTCTACACATCTGATTAGCCACAAAACATAATGTAATTTTTCAAGTAAAATTGATATTTTTATACTTATCCTGACTCATGATCTTTTGCTTATCTCCCTTTCCTTTTCGAATGGTAGTGGAACACTTGAATCCCTTGAAGTTCCCGAAGCGGACGTAAAAATACACTCACCCATGAGTTACCTCCCTTTTGCCCTTTTCCCACAGTCATGTGACCAGCCTTACTTGTCACTCTCTCCTGATTTTCTGCCCATGCACTGGATCTGCTGTGAAATCCAAAGTTTGTTCAGCGGGGAGGTTGGGAGGGTTTCTCGTCATGAGTCAGGATAAGTATAAACATATAAATTTTACTTGAAAAATTACATATTCTTTCTTATCCTGACTCATGATCTTTTGCTTATAGAATCCGATGGATTGGTGGTGGGTCAAGCCACTTCGTGGATTCATCAGCTGTCCTTAGATACGTCCTGTATCCCCCCCATGGGAACTGTGAAATGGCATTTCCGTGATCCTATTCTTCCAACTGCCGTTATAACTCGGGGGGGAAGGGAAAGAGGAAAAAGAGAGAGAGAGAGACCCCACTTTCTTGTCTTACTTCAGTCTCAGACAAGTTGAATCATGTTGATTCATGTGGATACAGATAAACTAGTATCTTCTTATTACTAGATATCTTATAACAACCCATAGATTATGATAAGATCTTTATCATAAATGAGTTGCGACCCCTTCATGTACAGGTAAGATCTTTACCCATACAGGATCTTTAATCACTCATGCTAGCCTGTCCTAGACTGTGCATGGACTTTCAAACTAATACTTTTTACTTAGTAAAAGTTATCAACAAGTCAACGTGATAAAGGGTGAGATTTTCCATCTCAGCGCCTTTGAGGAACCAGTAGTTGCTGTGCTACAACGAGAGGCCCAAATTGATGAATGCCTGAGACGTCTTCAGTGGCTATGTCTCGGAGGTAGTGGTTGGCAAACACCGTGTCCGACTTCCAAAAGCAGTCCTCCATAATTGCTGGTATAGAGCAATTTCCGTGCAGAGTCAGTGTTGACGCCAGTGCTCTGACTTCATGTGGGTTGGAAGCTCTAGGAGGTTCTAGTCCTGCAGCTTTATAGGCTCTCAATATGACGGCTCTCATCCAGAATGATATCGTCGTTCTTGAGACTTCTGCTGATGTCTCTGTTGATAATGGGATGAACAAGCGCTTGAATTTTCGTCTCCTTGTCTCAGTCTTTTGAAGATATATCTTCAGGGCTCTGACCGGACACAAGGATAGGTCTTCTATATCCTCTGGCCTAGGATTGTAGATAGCGCTGGTACGTGGAACTGTCTATCTGGCTGACCAGGTAGTTGGTTCTTAGCAATGAAGTCCCATCTAAGTCCTAGATGAACTGCAGCATGTTGCCCCCTGTCGAATCTGGTTCGACCAAAGTCCAGCGCATGTATCTCTGATGTTCGAGCTGCCGTGGCTAGCGCAAGCAGGAACAGAGTCTTCTGTGTCAGCAACTCAAAGGTAGTCTGGTCTAGAGGTTCGTAGGCATCACTCGTAAGATGACGTAGAATTACATTCAGATCCAAGGCCGGAGCTCTGAACTTCTTTTTGCTGGTCCTCCAGTTTAAAAGATCTCAGCAGAGCAATTAATTCTGGTACTTTCGTCAACTTGATGCCTGTTTTCATGGTAATCACTGTACTGATGGCGGCGAGGTATGTAGATAATGTCAAACCTTTCAGATGTCTGGTCTGTCTAAGATGACACAGGTATTCCACCACTTGAGGATGAGTAGCTTTCATCGCAGTGAAGCCTTTCCGACTTGCATAAGTCTCAAACTTCAGCCACTTGTCATCATACAGGTTACGAGTAGATCTGCGTAACTCTAGCGTTACTGCCCTGGCTGCCCTGGCGGAGTATCCTCTTTTCTTCAAACATGTTTTGATATGGTCCACACGTGTAGCTGGAACACTGTCGGGTTCCCGTGGACTTGCTTGGTGTGCGGATGTATGAGTAAGTTCGGCCAATCTGGTAACTTGATTGTTGGACTTCCGAGATCTTCTATTAGGTCAAGGAACCATACTCTCGCTGGCCAGTAGGGCACGACCAAAGTCAGTTGTAGCACCTGTGTCTGTTTGATCTTCAACAGTACTTCTGGTAGTAATATCGGGGGTGGAAACGTGTAAGCGTTTAGTCCTTCCCAAGATATGCTCAGTGCATCTGTTGCCCAGACTTGAGGATCTTGGAACCGGTGAGACAAACGTCTGTAGTTGTTTGTTGAACCTCGTGGCAAACAGGTCTTTGCAAGGGGATCGTATTTCCCTTAGGATGAGCCAGAACGCTTCTGGATGGAGCATCCATTCAGTAGGTGACGGGTGTAGTGGTCGGGATAGAGCGTCTGCAAGTACGTTCTTGGCTCCGGGTATGTGACACGACTTTATCCAGATGTTGGCTTCCTCCGTGATGTGGAACAACTGGAATGTGAGCTGTAGCAGGCTTGGAGACCTTGTGGATCCTTGCCAATTTATGGAGAATGCCACTGTAGAGTTGTCCGTGTGGACCATCAGCATTTTGTTTTTCAGCGAGCTTGACCATAGTTGTAAGGCGTTGATCACGGCTTTCATCTCCAGCAGATTGATGTGAAGATGCTGCTCTATTTTGGACCACCTTCCTGATGCAACTTAATTGTTGAGATGCGCACCCCAGCCTTGTATCGAAGTGTCTACGTAGAGATGTGTGTCGAAGGCCGGCTCTTGTAAATAGGTCCCTCCTCAAACGTTCGACCTGTGCGTCCACCATAGTAGATACCTCTTGAGGTTGTCTGGCAGCAAGATAAGGTCGACGCTGTCTAGATGTTTTTGACAGGAACCGTTGCAGCGGTCCTAGTTGTAACCTTCCTGTGCGAGTCAAGTCCTGCGCCGAGGTTAGTAGACCGAGGAGAACTTGCCATGATTGTAGTGTTAACGGAGAGATGACTGCTGGTGGAATCATGGCTTGTATCTTGATCCAACAATCTTCTGGGACGACAATATGATTCTGTGTTGTGATAAACCTTATCCCCAGAAATTGCCTTGTTTTGGTTCCAACTATGACTTTATAAGGTTCACAAGCCATCCTAGTTGAGTGAGCAACTTGATCGTGAAGTTCAGCTGTAGTCTGAGTTGACTGGCATCTTGGTGAACCTGAATTCCGTCGTCCATGTAGAAGGCATTGCATAGACCTCGATGATGTAGATATGTGACTATAGGCTTGGTTATTCGTGTGAATAGCCACGGGGCCGAAGATATTCCAAACGGTAGGACGTTCCATTGGAGCTGCTGCCCTCTGAATAGGAATCGTAGATACTTTCTTGATTCTGGATGTATGGGGATGTGCTGGCCATGTAATCTGCTGGACGGACGAGTAGTCTGAGTTGAGGTAGGTGGATCATTCTGAACCTGTCTGGTTTCAGTAGATAGTCTTTGTTGAATTTGTGCATGTTGTAAATCAGTCTGAACTTCTCCTTGGAGTTCTTCTTGGGTACTAGAAAAATTGGGGAGTAGAAACCTGGAGTGAGATGATGCTGATTTATTATCTCTACCGCCTCCTTCATAAGTAGTGAGTTGATGGCTTCTTGTAGTTTGTCTGCCTGCTCCTCTGCAGTCGAAGACCATCGGGCTGAGGGTTAGCGGAGGTGAGGCCTTGAGTTGTACTCTGTATCCTTCTCGTAGTACTTGGGAGATGTAGTCGTCCTCTAGTATTCCCCAATTTTTCCAGTACCTTTGTAGACGTCCACCCACTGTCGATGGTTTTACAGGAATGGCTGGGGATGGAAGACTCCAGTCGTTCCGAATCCTGATATCAATTTTGTAAATGGATCTATATGATGTAGAAGGAATCTCTTCACATTAAATGATGGCAGATGCTGACTCTGGTACTTGGATGCTTTCGCGAAAGCTGTGCGTAGGTTAGAGGGTACCTTGGATATAGGTTCAATCGGAGGGATAGTAACGGAGTCAAAGTCGTCGTTATGCATCATATAAGTGTAGATTTCATCTTTATCCTTAGAAGGAGACTCCAATTTCAACCCGTTGGCAATCCATGCTGTAACCTCTGAGTCTGGGAAGACGAAGTCTGCTTGCTGATCCAGAGTCTCCTGATTATTAGAGCTAGGCTTCTGCGACTCATCCATCTGCGAACCTGTATCCCTTCTCCAACCTTCATCATCCTTTCGCGAACCTCTATCTGAAGATTCCTCCCTATGCGCACGTCTATCTTGAGAGTGCTCTCTTCGCGAACCTCTATCTGTAGATTCATCTCTTCGCGAACCTCTGTGATGTGAGCTATCTCTTCGCGAATGTCAGTCGCTAGATGTATCCCTTTGCGAACTTTTGTGATGTGAGCCTTCTCTTCGCGAACCTCTGTTTCGTGATGACGGACTTCCGCGAACGTCTGTGAGAGATATGAGATCTCTATCTAGAGCGGCTAGGTGTAGGAAATGGGTCCTTCAATGTTCTCGAACGTTGAGGGTTCGCAGATGTAGAGCTGTGAGTAGGCATCTCATCTCTTCTATCCTCCTCTAAGATGACAGTCGTCCGACTGTGGAGGCCTTTGTAAAGGTGTACGTTCACTAACGTAGTCTTGAGATGTAGTTCTATGAGGAGTAGGTTCGCGCAGGTCTGTAGGTTTGCGCACAGTGTCGGTAGATGAGAGGCTTCACCGAGCCTTCGCTTCTTCCTCGAACCTACGTTCCATCATGGCCATCATCTGGTTGGTAAATTGTCTCATAAATTCGCCTGGGTCGAAGTTCTGTGTTAGTTGCAGCTGCTGCGGTGTAGATGAAGCGTTCGCGAAAAGCTGATGAGTTCTGCGCTTCAACTTTACTCCGTTGAGAAGTAGGTGGTTGTTCGTCAAACAGCTGGCCTGCTGTGACCGTTGCAGGGGACGATCAAGTAGTTGTAGAAGTCGATTGAGTCGCTGATCTCATAGGTACTTCGGGTAGAAGTAACGGGGGGTCATCGAAAACGTCTACTTCATGTGGTGGTAATATCTCTTCGTTGAAGGATTTCTGCTGCGTTGACTTACTAGCACGCGTAGATTTACCCTTTGCTCTGGTAACAGATGCCTTCTTCTGCGATGTAGAAGAAGATGACGTCTTTTTCTTAGCTTGAGTCGGAGTCAACTGCGTTGTAGCCGATCTCTTCTTGGCCCCCGTACCAGCAGACTGCCTCTGCAACGTACTAAACATAGCACCAGTATTAAGAACTTCAGCAGTAGCAAGCAACATAACGGTTTGTAGGCTGATCTCTTGTTTCATCAGCCGTGACTTGAGATGACTTCCTCACCCAATCCATGGCACATCTATAGATATAAGACAAATATTGATGAAATTGAAGATTTGATAAATCAACACAATAAGTACAGCGCAAGCTGGAAGAACATGGTTTTGTACACGAAGGGCACTGGGGGTGAAGATCAGCCATGGATAACCTGTGCCTGCAAACACTGCAAGATTTCATGAAATGTAAACAAAGTTACATTACGATGAATTTATGACATAAATACAAATAATTTTTACAATTTTTTTTACAAATAATACATAGTAGTTATTGCCAAATCCATATAGAGCATAATTTTGAAGAATAGGACCTAAATAAAAAGGATATAAGCCGTATAAGGGACTCCAGTGTTAAGCCCAACCATCCGCTTGAAAAATGAACTTAAGGCTGTATAGTATTGTGCTTAACAAGTAAGTGACAAGTAAGACTGGTCACATGACTGTTTGTGCGGGAAAAGGGCAAAAGGGAGGTAACTCGTGGGTGAGTGTATTTTTACGTCCGCTTCGGGAACTTCAAGGGATTCAAGTGTTCCACTACCATTCGCAAGGGAAAGGGAGATAAGCAAAAGATCATGAGTCAGGATAAGAAAACATAAATATTTTTTAAACTTTAACCGTCTTACTCCTCGATCTCCAAATACATTTGCTTTATTCATCAAAACCAAAAATATATTTTGAAAGTTTAAGTGGAATAATATGTGTCAGAATTGACATGATGAGAACATGTGAAGAGTCTTACTTGACCAACAACTGTGTGTTTGGCATGACGTTTTCCAGTTTAGCTGCATTGCGTATTTTAAAGCTGAGCACTGATGGTGAAGGGTTTTCTGTGAATGCTTTCACGATGCCAGCAGGGAATGACATCATCAAATTGCCTGTTGTTTTCACTGCACATCTGAAGTGTCAACAGCAAGCATATACATTATCAAACTTTTTGCAAACATTCCCCAATATAGTGTCCACTATGCCATGAAATGTCGACAACACAAGACAATGAATGAATGTTTGTATATGATGAAATACAGGAAATATTCCAAAGTATCTTATCGTCCTTGTTAATGGTTGAGTTAAAATAACAGTTTTGATTTACAAAAATTTAACAGAAGCAACTGAGGCTACACACTATAACAAAGGATGACTGCCATAAATCACATCAGGTTTCCCAGTGTGAACAAATCCTTCAGTAGTAGACATCTTTAACTCCTCCTAGAAAACTAAATGCATTTCCTGGCAGTTGAACCAAAAGAAACCATAACTGCTACCATGTTAGTTATTCCTTGGGGAGCCCCATGCTGTTAGAAAGCAATGAATGGAAAGAGTTATGCATCCTTCCTGTAAACCAGGAGTGTGTTGAGAAATGTCCATGCCTTCATTATCCACTCACAACATAAACACCTACTGTATACAATAGCGCCAAAACAACACTGATGCTATAATCATAGGAGTTTTTCTCTACACCATACAATAACTGATGCTTACCATTTAGGAACAGGATTCCTACAGGTAATGTGCCTTAGTATAGAATATGATTAGCACTAATCATGCAGTCGTCACAGTGGAGGTTTACAGAGAGTGATATGGGATATTTGGTGCTGGGCTTGCGTGCAATAAACAGGACCATTCCACGAAAACAAAGCAACTTGTATGATGTTCGGGTTTGAGCAAAGTTGTTCTGCATCGGTATGCCTATCCATGTTCTATGCTATACTCCTCAAAGGAAGTTAAGGGCCACCCAGTTCTCCCACATTATCACTGTTAATGCCCTGGACCATTAACTTTAGTAATATGAAAGAATCAGGTGGTCCTTATTTGGGTAGTATTCTATTAGCTTTGGACAAAACAGTTTGTTAACAAAGAAGACACTATTCTTCATGCCCTACAGTCAAGAATCACATTAATGGACAGAACCTGACCAAACTAATGATGGCTGTCTTGTTGTCTCACAACACCTTACAACAATGGGAAGGCACTATTGCTAACAAAGAAGGAAAGCATATCACTATCATTTCAAATTCTCATATCAGTGTTATCCAGATAATGTTGAAGGTAAAGAAAGCTGAGCTGTGGTTAGGCTGCCTTGCAAAGCTCCTTGTCAATAGACATGGAAGAGACAGGGTAGTAGGGTTCAATGGGATCACACGATATTACCTGTTTCTAGCTACCTCTTCTCCTGAGTTGGACCTGCAATACAGTTAGTAGCATGCACACAACAGTTACTGGATACACAACAGCAGTACACCCACACTCAGTGTATTGGTGGCAGGGTGGGGCCACACTCGTGGGGGGAGGGACACTAGCAGTAAAAGCTGCCGTACATTTCTACATGAGGTGAGGCTTTCCTCCAAATTGCGACAATAACACCTATCAAAAGACAGCCTACTTATTTTAGAGGAATAAATCAATACTACAAGATGGAGAAGACAACAATATGATTCTGACTCTGATGTGTGAATGCCAAATTTTATTTGCGATTTGACATTATATAACACTGCTTTTACCAATATTCCAGCAATATTATGTCAGGGGACAGCAGATATGGGTTTCAAACATTGTTGCTCAAAGTAAACAGTGCTGAAATGATTCATGATACTTAGAAGATTGACATTTGTTTTTAAAAGATTTAATTAGTATCATATGTCAATGATTCCTAAGCTACCAGTGCTAGAAAGAAACTACATGAAGGAAAGCTATTTTCAAGATATATTTGTATGTATGTATGATCTTTTGTTAAAAAACTAACAGGTGAAAATATATTTTATTCATACCCAGCTGAAAGGAACTGAAGTATCACTGGGAGTGTTAATATCTAGGTTGAAAGTCTCCAGCAAGAACAATATGAATTAGACCATCTCAGGTTTTAATTATCACCATGAAAACAGATTTGTTGTAGAAAAAGTGAAACATTTGTGTAACACAGCAGCCATTGATGTAAGCCTTGGTAAATGACTTTTAAAGGTAAGGGCTTTGTCATGTTGTGTTTACATGCAACTGTCTTTTGACAGGTGTCACTTGAGCCAGCCAATCACCACAGGTGAGGACAGAGAGTCTGCACAGTCAAGTATGCAGGTGAAACAAAGGCCAATATATATAACAGAGTAGTCAACAAAGCCAGACACTGGAATAGTTCAATCATTAATAACAAAGGGTGACACATTATTAGTGAGAAAAGGATATGATGAGTTCACACTAATAAAGGCTACAGGACGATCACTGAATGTGAAAACCATTCACAACACTTTTGTAATTTACTAAGATTCTTGGATAACTTGTTTGAGTGACATTTAGAAGTTGGTGTGATGAATACAGACAATAGTTGTATGGATATTCAACTTTTTATTACAATATATGTAACATTTTGGTGTAGTTGCTAACACCATTATCAAGCAAGTGATGTACAATACAGTAGGTAAAACATTAATATACCTGAGTAAAGATGTGTTTGTACATGTTGATAATGTTGATTGATGTTTACACAATGGATAAGGTTGATCAATCAACATGAATAATCTGTACTTTAACTGTATATACATAACTTAACTCGTCACATATAGTGTAATGCACAGTTGATCATCCAAAGGCATTGTCAAAAAGAAATAACTATATGTTGTATCTTTGCAATGGATATGTAGCCTTCATTGCTGTGTATAGAAAGCTAGCGAAAAGGATGAAGAAAGAAGACTGACTCCATCTACATTTGACTTACTTTGTTGCATCATGCCCCTTGAAGAAAGCGTTGATGGTCTCTGTGAAGGCCACCGCCAGCGGCACGGTGTCAGACATGCCGATGGTCAGTGGACTGGGTCCTCGGGAGGAGCCAATAGGCATGGAGGTAGTGTTGAAAGTCACGCTGCCACTGCTCTCAGAACGAGAGATTATTGGGATCGGACTGTTCTGACCCGTCGTCTTAGACTTGAAACAATCACATAGACAGAAGGTTTAATATCCCACAAGCGGTTTACTTGAAAATGTTAATAATAGGCAAATTCTACTATATCACTGTGTGTCCATAGTATATTTTCATGTCAAGTTAACAATGCGATTGGCAAGCAATCTTAAACATTTTCACTATAACTTGTGTATTCATAAATACTTTTCATATCTCACATATTGCACTTTCTCTTGTTCTTAAGACCATGGATTGGAACCTTTCCACCTCTATAAACGCCTCACCCAAACATACCCCAGCTCCATCTGTTGTTGTTGGCAGTCACAGGTAGCTCATGCAATGCATGCAGACTTACAGATATCTCCATTGTGTGCCTTAGAGCTGGAACCATCCCAGTGATCTGCACAGCCGGATTGGTCAGGTGCAAATCCATCAGTCAGTCATAGTCTCACTTTTGTGAGGTTGCTTTACAAAAACCCATGGCATAACTGAACACAACTCCTAGGGAGTGGGTGGACACAAGTGATTTAACGCCGCATCATTTGTCTGAAGACAAATGTGGAGCTAACAGAGGGCACTGAAAGCTCCGCCACGATTTTAACTGGTCCCAGAAGCTGAGAACCTTTCAGTTCTCAGTCCCAGCTTGTGAGTTCTTCAAACAGCCCTCGCAAACACTCAAAGAACGTTGGAAGGACAGCTCATATAACACTCTGCTTAACACTCTGCTTGCTTAACATTTTCTAACATTTTCCTCCTATCCTAGCCATCACATGACCCTTTTGAATTTAACTTACTATGATTAAACAAGATTCATCCTAGCCACATATGAAAGAACAAATCATCTGAGAGTTTTGAATTTTATAAATCTTATAAATGCCAGTATGGTTAAAAAAGATTCATATCATATCTGCCAAGTCCTGCTGAAAGATATTGAATGGTTTTCGAGTTGTGTTCCGGAAACTAAGCCCACCTCTCCCTTTTGAGACTAAGTCCGAATCGTTCCCATGGAAACCAGAAAAATAATAAATCACAAAAATCAGTAAATAGCAAAAGGCACCACTTGAGGTTCTTTTTGATATATCTACCAATGTTTGCAGAAAAATATTGAACGGTTTGTGAGTTATGCTCTGGAAACGAAACCCACCCCTCCCTTTTAGACTAACTCCAAAACGTTTCCATGGAAACCGAGAACACAACCGAAAAACTCATCAGAGAAATTGAAAGTTGTCGTAGAATTCAACAGCGGATATGTCAATTAACACAACAATTGATCTCAGCGTCATTAAACCAAATAACCAAGACTCATCGGTCAGGGTGGCAGGACACTGTCCACTAGAGAGAACAGATCGGCCAAAGTGTCCTCGATCACGGGAATGTGTATCCAGCTGATAGTGCTAGGCCGGCTCCAAATAGCGGCGGAACAAATCTCTTCAATGGGCAGTGCCGATGCAAAAGCCTTTGAAGTGGCCACTGCCCTGACCGAGTGAGCCTTCAACCCCTCAAGGGGAGGTTTGCCCTTAGCCTGATAAGAAGCACAAATGACCGACACAAGCCAGCGAGAAAGTATCTGTTTGCTGGCAGGAGTCCCAGCCTGCCCGCCACCATAACAGCAGAACAGCTGTGTACCCGTACGAATCCCTTGTGTTTGTTTGATATAGACCTTGAGGGTCTTACGGACATCCAACGGGTGAGTGCTCGTTGCAGAGGTCCCCGATGTGGAAGGCTGGGTAAGAGTGGGAAGTTCGATAGGAGCTGTCACATGGAAAGTGTGATCGATCTTCGGACGGTAACTATCCGGGAGGCGAATACTGACGAGATCTGGATGGAACACAGTCAGCGCCGGGTCTGCAGACATGGCATGTAAATCACCAACCCTTCTCCCAGATGTCAGCCACCAGAAAACGGCCTTATGTTAACAGCTGAATGGAAATAGCCGATAGACGTGAGAATGTAGGACCGGACAGCCAATCTAGCATGATTGACAAATTCCAAGGTGGGCTGGTTCGCCTGACAGCAGGTCCAACCCGATCCACGCCAGCTAAGAAGCGCTGCATAAGAGGGTGCTGCCCCAGAAGAGCATCATCGATAGGGGTGTGAAAGGTGGAAATAGCGGTGGAGTAGCGACGAATGGTCGAAGCCGCCAAACCTTCTTCCAAACAAGACTGCAGAAACTCCAAAACTTGGACTAAAAGCACAGAAAAGGGATCTGCAATTCCCCTATCTGAACACCAGCACGCATAGCGGGACCACCTATCCTTGTACTGAACGTTTGTCGAATCCCGCCTCGAAGCCGGTACTGTGTCTGCAACTGCTGCAGGAATTCTGCGTGCCTCGAGGCTAGTCCTGACAGAGGCCAAGCCACCAACAGAATCCGTGGATTGGGGTGTAGCAGCGCCGTTCTGAGTGAGAATGTCTGGAGAAACCTGAGAATTACCGGAAACCAGCTCTGTGACGGCCAAAGTGGTGCCAGAAGCACAAGTAATCAAGCTGGCTGGGTGGAGAGCTGGGAGAGGACCCGTGGAATGAAAGATAGTGGCAAACTCCCACAGTACCTTGCCTGTCCAATCCAGCAGAAAGGCATCAGAAGCAAACGCCCTCTGGTCCGGTATTCGAGAGCAGAACACGGGTATCGGATTCGTCCCACCGGATGCAAACAGATCCACCTGGAACGACCCATACCACCAGGAAATAACTCTGAATATTCTCTGATCGAGCATCCACTCGTGCGGGGCCAGGATCCGGCGAGAGAGAGCGTCTGCTCGCACGTTCTCTAGTCCCGGGAGATAGACAGGAATCACCTGACAGTCGCACCAGAGGAGAAAACACCATGCCGCCTTGTTTCAGGATGTACGTCATGGCTATGCAATTGTCTAACTGAAGACGAACAACCTGGTCCTGAACATGCTCCCGGAAGCGCTCAAAAACCAACCGCACAGCTCGGCTTCGGACCTGCGTCCAGACACTGACAGGCTGCCCAGAACATCCCCCCAGCCCGAGAGGGATGCATCCGTTTGAACTGTAAGAACTGGCGTCGGGATGTCCAAAGGGACCCCTTTGGAGAGATTCCCGACATTGGTCCACCACTGAAGGTGAGGAGACAACCACCCTGGAACTGTGAGACACTTCTCCAGATCCTCTGGAGCCAACAGACTCGCCAAAGCTTGCTGCATAGGGCGCATCCTCAACCATGCCCTCCACACAACAGAGACAGTCGCCGCCATATGAGCCAGCAGATTGATCCAAGTCTGTGCTGGCGCCCGGGGCTGGGAGAGGAACAAAGACACCATCTCCCGTACTCTGGTGATCCGGTCGAAAACAGAGACACAAGACCTTGTTGAGTTGTGAACCGCGCCCCGAGAAAAACCAAGTACTGGGTAGGTACCAGGTCGGTTCTTGAGGTTTCTGATCCACCCCAGTCAAACTAGAATGTTTATCACCATGTGAGTAGAATCTAGACTCGCTGGCTGAGTTAGTGCGCGCAGCAACCAGCCGTCCAGGTAAGGGTGACAATGCCTTCCTTGTGAGGAACACCCTGGGGGCAGTAGATATGCTGAAGGGGAGCACCTTGAATTGATAATACATACCGTCGTAAGAGAACCAGAGGTACTGCTTGAACGTGGGATGAATAGGTACAATCGCATCCTTTAGATCGATCGATGTGAGCCAATAGCTGGGCTGAACAGAGGTGATTGCCGAGCAAAGTGTCTCCAGCTCAAAGGATGGAACCTCGATCATGCGATTCAACCCCTTGAGGTTGAGATGGGATGGAACCCGCTGTCTTTCTTCGGTATGAGGAATAAAACCCCGCCTGTTCCTCTCCCGGTGGTATGCACTCTATTGCGGACTTGTCCAGCAAAGCCTGAACTTCGTCTCGCGGTATACCCGCTTTGTCTGGACATGATGGCACTGGAGTGCTCCTTATGCCGGTGAACTCAGCGGTAAATGGCTGACACGTACAGTGGACAGCACCCAAGAGTTGTGTGTAGCCTTCTCCCACTCCGGAAGGAATAGAGAGAGGCGGCCTCCCACTGGGATATGTGGTAAGAGAGTGTGAGTAGTCCCCTCCAGCTGAACTGGCTGGGACGCATCCGCTGGAGCAGCGGGTCGGGGCAGAGCCCCTGCGACTGTGAAAAGGCTGCTGGGAGCTAGACGAAGAGGGTGCTCCTTACTCTTACCTTTGGCGGGGCGGCTCCTCCTCCTTCCCTTGCCAAGTGGCCGAAGCCAACCTGCAGACACAGGTATAGGCTGCGCCCAGAGGAAGTGCCCGCAAGAAACCTGTGGTTGTTCTAGCAAGGCCTTCATGTCCTTGAAAGAAGTAGCTGCAGCAGCAGCAGCAGCCTCCCGTATAACGTATAACCTGCTGGGACCCTGGAAAAAATGTCGCACCCAGCCTAAATGGAAGGGCCAGCAAGGTTTGCTTGGTCGCCCCCGAGTAACGTGACGTCAACAATCACAGCTTGCGCATCCCCATAACTGCGCCGACACCGTCGACACAGCGGACCGTAATGAGTTCCTGGTCAGGTGGTCCTGCACTTCGGAGACCATGGACCACCACCCTGATCTGCTGCACAGCATTCCGATAAACCTCCTCGTAGGTTCGGTAAGCTTGCCGCAGAGGGGCGCCCGACTGAGCAAAAGGTGGCAACTAAACGCCCTTGTTTGGCAGCCAGAGCCTCCCCCGAGGGCGACCGAAGTGAAAACACATTCGTCCACCACCGGACCCAGCTGGTAACGCTTCACGAGTTCGGGTAAATCGAATCGGGGCCAAGAAGAAGCGAGCAACGGATCCACTACATCCTGGATCAGTGACAGAAGAATACGGAGCTGCGTCTGTGAGAGCTGCCGAGGAGCAAACGCCTCACCCGGCAGGCGGAACTCAGACAAATCCTGACAGCATGTCGGGAGACGCAGGAGGAAGCACAGGTAGAACTCCGCTCCTCAACGGGAAAATGGGCGCAGGAACCGGAACACCAGGAATCCTCAATGGTCCCTGCGCAAGCACCGAGAGAGGGACTGGGTGCAAACCCTCGCTCCCTGGAGTGGCAGAAGCACCCGGACCCGAAGCCAACGGCAACAGATCAACAGGCGCCTCAAGGCCAATGGATCGAGCCGAGCCGGCGATCCGACCCCCCAGCACAGTCAAGGCACGTGTGAACACAATGCGTGACAGCAGAAGGAATGATGATATTGGCCTGGGTGTTTACCTGGTTGGCCACGCATGCGTGGCAGGGAGGTAACTCCACCTGGTGGGGGCCGTATAATAAATAAAAAAGGCTTTTTATTTATTGTACAATATTTTATTAAAACATTGATACAACTGTCACATGACATTTTCAGCTGGAGAAAATGCATACATGTACCCAAAGGATGATCTGTATGAAAAAGAATGACAGAGGAACCATAAAAGACAGGATCAATGATCCAGGAGGGATCGACAATCCTGAGGCCAGGCGTAACAAGAAGGATGACACGGCTGCTATTCCAAGGGAAGACATGAGGGATTGACAAGGTAGTAGAAAAAGCGGACAAGCAAATGTAGAGATTGATATTCAAGTGGATACAAGAGTAGGGGCCAAAAGAAGAAAAGATTCATTTTAATTAACCGCATACCTTTCTCTTGCAAATAGCCACGTCATTCTTTCCCATACTTCATGTAAATCTTCTAGATATGCTAACAAGAAGTAACCTTGCCCTCTGTCAAAAAATATTCTCTAAAGACATGACGTCTTCACTGACAGGCGACAAAGAAGAGAATGGAGATAGCTGGAAGTCACATATCAAGGGAGCATATCGCCATTCATTGCATAAGCTACCTGTGTCTGCCTAAAATAGATGATGCTGAGGTGTGTTCGGCTGAAGGCTGAAAACCTTGTTCCAGGTAGTTTCCACTCCATGGTCGTAAGAACAAGAGACAGTGCATAACATGATAAAGGATAAGTTGTAACAATGTATATTTGTAGACTCCCACATGCAAAACATGTAACATATATATCTTCTTGTAACATGTGTAACAGGTACTAGAAGATAGACATATAATACTGAATTGATAAGTATTTTTCAACACCACAAAAACATTATTTGACCACTAAAAACATTGTTAGTGAAAGCTTGAAGTGATGTAGGTCTTACACATCTACCAACTATATAATTGGGCCACCCATGCCCCAGCCCCCAATACATAATAACCATATGTGTGTACTTAAGGAGGACCGCCAGATTCTGTTTTCTGAGGCTTCTACCTACAGTGATAAATGACTCGCAACATAATTACTCCCTAGATGCCACCAGGACACTGCCTGTGCTAGAGCTGTGTATACCTGAGAGAATATGCCTTTGTTTCGTGAAGGTGGTCTGGCAATGGCTGAAGACAGATTGATGCCCCCGAGGGGTGATGAGACCTGACTAGAGACTGAGGGAGTGTTCCGCCCTGTGCTGCTGCCACTGACATCATGACTCAGTAACTCATTGAAGGCTGGAGTGAAACAACAGCATCACATCAATCTAGGCTACATCCTACCAATACATCATCTTAATGTAAGACACTACAGCAGAGGTACTGACTGGGTTAGGGTCTCAGTGTAGATACAGGTAGGCATTAGTAATATTAGGTGCAAGAAGACACACATTAAACATTTGTGGTGGGGACTTTTTTTCCACTATTACATTCTACAACATCTGTTAATGATCAAGGGAAGTTTTTATTATCATTTACTGTTTGAATACTTTTACAAAACATCAATCATTATTAAAAGATTGAGTAGAAATCATGTGCATCCCAAAGCAAAAAGAAACATTTTGTGCATGTTGACAGCAACAGGATCTGGTCAAGTTGAAGTGAGTCATCCCTCCTGAAGCCAGTACACACAAGCCTACCATACTGACTATTTTAACATGTGATAACACAAGGGATCAGAGCCAATTTTAAGCAGTTTTAAGCAGTTTTCAAGGCAAACATTGCAATAATCATGGACAGATTACAATGTTTATTGAAAGCTTTCTCCTGTTTACATCACTGCATTGATGCACAACATAAAGTTGGTTGAAACTACTTAAAGTACCCTTCCCTGCACTGACATAGCTAAGTTTTAGTAGCCAACTGCACTTAGTAAACACTTAGATTCCTCTTGACAAGGGCTCGATTCATCGGACACTTCAGCCAGTCTACCAATCAATAAATAATTACTGACAAACATCTTTATTCCTGGACCTCATGAACTTGTCACTCCTTCATTGTACATTTGAATGGCCTGTGTGTATGACCTGACAGATACTAACAGATGGAAGCTGGGTATTGTCTGTGTGGTTTCAGGATGGGACTTTGATGTAATCTGGGGGTGAGTATGTGGTGACTGGGTAGGAGTTGGGTGTAGTGTGGGTAGGAGTTGGGTGTAGTCTAGGTGGGGGTGGGCGTTGAGTGTAGTGTTACTGGGACTTCGGTGTATTCTTATTAGGACTAGAGTGTAGTCTGAGCGAGAATTTCATTTTGTGTGATGCGGAAAGCAGGATTCAAACTTGCAATACAGACACTTACGCTAAACATTCTCCAATGCATACAATCCACAACATCAAGTGACCTATATTTTTGTTGGGAAGTGAAATGGTTAGTAAAGTTGGAATCAGGTATTTATTTAACACCATGAGGACTGATTAGTAAAATGGTAAATGTTCACAAAATGACTGTAAAATCACAGATTAGTAAAGATGATGTTAGTTCATATATGTCAACAAATGCTTCATCAGTGATATCCCGCCTGGTGAATTCCTCCTTCAGTGCTATAATCAGAAGTATTGCAGTAGATCCTACAGGTGAGAGTTTACCACGTTATGTTATCCTTTTGTAACAAAATACCTGAGATACATTAACTGTACAAGGCTACAGAAATATTTTTAACAGAAAGTCACATTTTCTTGTACCTATGCCCGGACAAGAATAATGACACAAATATTCCTGAAAGCAACAAAAGCCAATCTCACTGGTTGAAGCTGATGTAGGGGAGGTAACTGTGCTTGGCGAGGCACTATTCCAGTTGATTTGTGTTTGTGGCGACAGTGGCGAGGGCAGGTTGTAGTTACCAGTGCTGCCAGTAGGGGTGGAAGCGGTGGACGATGACACAAGAAAGTCCAAGTTCAGGAGATCTTGACTAGGTTTGATTGCACTGAAATGCAAAAGTATTTGTTATTAACATTGGAAATAACATGTTCCAACAAATACCAGTTAACTATGTCAGCTGTGACAGCAACTTTGAAGTAAGTCAGTAATGGTACAGCCATGATGGTGATTCCCATCATGGCTGAATGGTAACTGTCTGGAACACTGACGATGATAGAAGTGTACTTACTCTAACGTATCAGACTCGGATTGTGACCTTTTCATCTTCTTGTCTATCGGAGTTTGGCTCCTTCGCCGCTGTCAACAAACAGAACAATGATCATACAATGAAAGTCTGTGTTACATTCACATTTAGTCTCTCATGAATGTTAACAAAACAAGTGTTTGCCACTGGCATGGCAATGTCCCCCGCGCCGCTAAAGAATGGAATATCTATATTTACTACTTTTATTTTTTGGTCACATACAAGATGCCTGGTGTCTGCATAATCACCCAATGTAGGCTGTCCACATAATTGAAAACATTGGGTGAAATGTTTTAAGAGATATCGTGTATAATTAAGTTTGAAAAGTGGTCAAAGTGTCGTGGTGACCTTGAAGATAAGGTCAAGGTCACCCAAATCAACTGGTATCTGCGTAATCCCCAAATGTAGGCTTTCACCAATATCACGTTAACAAGAGTTTGAAAAGTGGTCCAAGTGTTGTAGTGACCTTGAAGATAAGGTCAAGGTCACCCAAATCGATTGGTGTTCGGGTAATCCCCCAATGTAGGGTGTCACTAACTGTGAAGACATTGGGTACAACAGTTCATGGGATATCACGCTAACAAGAGCTTGAAAAGTGATCAAAATGTCGTAGTGACCTTGTAGATAAGGTCGAGGTCACCCAAATGAACTGGTGTCTGTGTAATCCCTAATGTAGACTGTCACCAAATTTGAAGATATTGGATACAACAGTGCATGAGATATCATGTCAACAACAGTTTGAAAAGTGTTCAAAGTGTCGTGGTGACCTTGAAGATAGGTCAAGGTCACCCCAATCGACTGGTATCTGGGCAATCACCCAATGTAGGCTGTCACTAAATGTGAAGACATTGGGTACAACAGTGCATGAGATATCATATTAACAACAGTTTGAAAAGTGGTCACGGTTTCGTGGTGACCAGGGAAAAAAAGAGTCAAGGTCACCCAAAT